TACAATATAACATTTTGGTCAGGAGACCCGGAGAGCTCACTTGCATACCAACCAAACAGAGGGGTGCCGCAGCCATTTCAAGACATGAGACACTTGCACTACCTATTTTCCTGAAAATACTATGGACTTGCTACCATTTACCAAAATCGCACTGTGCTCTAAAAGACGACAGGAAAAAGGTCACTAAATATTGCTAGAGAGGGCGCAATATTCACTGGTTACCAATGGCAAAAAGTATTCCGTCCGGTCACGATTTTGTGGCTGTACCAGAGGTAGGCTTAGCAAGGTGCTTACCAACTTAGCACCCAGTCTAGCTTGAAATTCCCGCTAAAATCGTGTGGAAAATCGTGGCACTTTGACACAGGATATGCCAGGGACTTTAACTACAAATTTCATCCCGGTTATTTCTTACATTTGTGCTACAAAGTCCTTGCAAGTATACTCCATAAATGTTGCAACTCCCCCATATTTCACACTTGTGCTACCAATTCTTCAAAAATATACCCCGTAAATGCGGCATCTCCCCGTATAGAAATATTTAGGAGTGAGCCCTCGGGTCATGGGAGCTAAAGCAAAGTTTTACTGTTACTCATTGAGAACCCACAAACTGACTGATATATATATATACATATACATATAGGAGCTTAGAAGTATCCATAGGGGGAAACTAAAACAATGAAGTGGTTAAAAACAGTACCATAAGGCGAAAGTAGTGTCGCTAAGGGGAAACTAAAGCGACGTTAAGGGGAAATCATAGACAAAAGAGTTTCCCCTTAAAAGCCGAATAAAGGTATATATATATATATATATATATATATATATATACACACACATAATAGGTGGAAATGACGCATCAGTACTACTCTAAAGATAGATTTCATGTGTCTCTGCCTTCGTAATGTAAGCAAAATGAGGTCAATAAAGAGGACATTTAACAAATAGGCCAATGAAAACATACAGTTGCTTGAAGTCATATTCTCAATGTATAAATTATCTAACAGTAATATGTATTTTCATTTCGTTAGCACCTTTCTGAAATGATTTTCCAGTTAAAGATTCATATTCATAATGTAAAATTCTGTTTTAAGGTTTTGACAGGTTTCTTCTCTTAACTGCATTCTAATAAAAAGTGTTTAATAGTTTCATTATCCTTTTCTTTACAAAGCTTACATATACCCAAATTTTCTGACGCGCATGATTTTTTTCTGCCAAGGTTTAAGAAGTTGCAGCTTGCTTTAAATTTTAGGCTTCTTCTGTTTTTTTCTCCCATTTTCATCAAGGAGATACAGCATGAGAAATTGTACATTGTATAATGTATCAGTGAGGGTTTAGATTTGCTCTCTTTGATCTTTAAATTTATACATCCAATTATTACATAATTCAATATTGTTATATTCTCCATGTTATATATAGAAGTTCTTTGATTTTATTAAGCCATCCCCATTTAAATTTATTTCCCATCGTGTTTAAAGCAGCGTTCCACAAACTTTTTTAGACTGACGACCCAGTTAAGAAATTCAGACCATGGCTCGACACACAGACATCTTTCATGCACAAGTTGGAGAACGCTGTACCATGCTTATGTTGCGCACCATGTGTTTCATTTCAGTGTATTTTATTATAATTGTTTTGATGCTAAATTGTGTCTCATTAAATTGTAATTAATTATTAATAAAGTATTCTGTCATACCATTATTCATTGCATGATTGTGTTTGTACAATGTATGATTAAAGTATTCCAACATATCGAAAGCAATGGTGATAGTTTGAATGAAATGTCTTCATTGAATCGTTTGATCCCATCCACCCACAATTTACACACTGTGGCTTGTCTCCGTTCACTACCAACCCTGAATTCAAGGTATTCCTTCTTGTATTTTCTTGACATGATTTCAACTTCTTAGCAATTAGAAAAGTTGATGAAATATAAAGTTGAACGCGCTTCAAGTGGAATCCCCACAACTCACGCGAACCCACGTCAAATCAATCGCTGCTGACCTAAATTAATTCTTAGGAGCGCACGATTGATTGCGACGCACAGAGCTAGGCAGCTTTGATGTCAAAACATCAAAGCGGAAAACTTAGCGTGAAGATATGCACGCTCAGATAGGACATTTTCATGAAGTCTATTCATGGTCTTAGTTGTGGTGACTTTTCGACGACAAGTTAGGGCCTAGCTAAAACTTTGTGATTTGTCAAGGTCTCGCAACCCACCAAAATATTTCGGGGACCCACTAGTTTTGAAATGCTAGAGTTCAGGGTTATACTCTTTCTAGCTACGGTTATGTATGTCGATCACCTTCTTACAATAGGGACAATTTTCCCTTTATTCCATTCATCCGGTATACGTTCGAGGAGTGATAGTCATTTATCATTATATTCTAATTCTGTATTATCCTTATGTGTACAATAATGTCTGTTGGCATGACATGCTTTTTTATTTTGAATTAATCTATTTCATTATCATTAATCTATTTTCATAATTATTAATCTATTTTCATTATTTTGAATTAATCTATTTCATTATCATTAATCTATTATATATTTATGCTTGCAGTACACCACGTAGATAGTTCTGAAAAGAACTTTTGTTGTTGGTTGAAAATACCTTGACGTTTCGATTGAGTTGCTTCAGTCTACTTCAGGAGAATAACATCTGCAAAAATTCCAAAAAAGTGAAATACTTATATGTTTTGTGTAGTGAGACTTGCTGCTGATTGGTTAAAAACAAAACATTAATATATTCTCATAATTAATCTATTTTCATTAAAATATTGAATTAATCTATTTTATTATCATTAATCTGTTTTCATAATTATTAATCTATTTTCATTATATTGAATTAATCTATTATCAAACCACGGTTTACAATTTTTAAATTTTAATACTTTAACATTTTTAAGCGTATTTTAACAATTTTTATGATTTTTTTTTTTTTTTTGCTTTGTCATTTTCCTTTTGTATTATGTATTTATTTCATTTGGCTTTTAAATTGGTGAAACAAAGATTTGATGATTGACTATTTCTTGAGCAGAAGACAAAACACAGGATTTCCATGACTCCCATGGTTTATTAGCATTTAAATTGAAGGGGTTCCAGTCTCTAAATTTAAATAAGAGATCTTGTTGGAATGCTGTCCAATCTTGATCAGTGATCTTTCTTTATATTCCATCTACAGTACATTCCTTATTATTTTTTAGGGGGTGGGGTGTGGTGGAAGGTTTAAAATTTTGCAATAATTTAATATTAATATCAATAATAATTACCGTACATTATTGTAAGTTAACATCCATTGTGCTTGGTTTATTGACAATTAAACAGTTCTAAAATCTTTTATAGATTCAATTTCGATTTATTAGTCAAACATGCAGATAAAAACATGTTTGAAACTTTGGCTGAGTGTACATGCTGAACATTGTCTAAAAATATTTTGAAATATAAAAACATTCAACAACATTCAAAAAAAGTTTTAAAAAGTGATTTACAACATACATAAGCATAAAAAACTGCAAACCAGCCATAAAAATGTTCAGAAGTTTGATTGGTTTTAAAATCCGAAAACTTTTAAACTTTCAAAGTTGGTAAAAATAGTTAAAAATACTGAGGTTGAGACATTAAAATATTATAAAGATAAAATTTTGATTGAAAAATTAAAACTAGTTTAAAATGTAAACAGCTAGCATTAATTCAACATTAAATTTAATTTACCTCTTCCACGATGCGTTATAATTTCTGATGGCAGATGGGAGAAACGATTTCCTAATTCTTTCTGTGTTCCACTGCAGATAAATTATGCGACCTGTTATACTAAACTTAAGATACAACAATTATGTTATGATCGCTACCTAGAAGTGAAAGATACATTAGTCATCTATAAAAGTTCATTTATATCATTAAGAACATTATTTGACATAAGACAGTAAACTGAAATAATTTTTTGTTGGTTTTGGACCCTCAAATGTTATCTTAAATTTTTTTTAAAGTCTACCAGAAATCATTATGGTATCCACACTCCCGCAAACAGCAAAAATCTCCCGCAAATTCACTTATCTCCCGCAAATTCAGTAAAAAACAAATCTTTTTGTTTTATTTAGGCCTAAACTTTGGTTGCCAATTATTTTTTGCAGTCTGACAGTGCCATTTCTGGGCTTCTAAAGGTGCCTAGGTTAAAAAAATGTCATCACCTCAGCCCCAATCATGGTGGGCCTGATGTAGGCATGGCCCTTCATTTGGTACCTACAATTATTTTTCTTCATAGAATATATAGATGCTCCTAATGTCATTAAACGAATCTCCAGGAAATGGGTTCATCCAACTTGGGACCCCTGTTTTTATAAGTAATCAATTCATTCATTAAAAGGAACTGGTCATAGTGTTAGAATATTCACAGAACAGTGCCCCAAAGAAGGGGTTGTCTATTTCTTCATGTGCAGTGATAATATATTATGCATAGCACCCCCTATTGGTTCAAGTAACAAACATGAATTTTTTGAGAAAATGGAACATAGTTGCCAATATATACGGATTGACTGTAAGACTCACAGATAATTTATCATTTGCCAGTTTTACTGCGGATAAACGAAAACTCACAGATTTTAAAGTTAAAGATTTCAAGGTTATTTTACACCAATAATGAATGTGAATGGTATTTACAGTAATATAGTATTAATATGAAATGAAAAAATCATTTGCCAATTTGTCTATTCATCTGTAGTGCAAAGAGTATAGATAGGGAAAGAGAGCCCAGTACTTTTTTGGTTTTATTAAGTTTCAAAAATTTGAATTAAATTTAGTGTCCAAGATCAATCAAATCAGTAGTGAAAATGCCCAGATTGGAGAAATCAGCCTCCTCTTCAGGCAAAACTTGGAGCCACCACTCAATTGTTTGTATCCTTTGGAAAAATAATATACTTATTGCACTTCAAATGTATGGCCATTGCATGATTTTTTTTTATTATTTAATGCTCTTTATAATATAAAATGTTACTAATTCTTTACAGGCTAAACGATGAGTGAAATAAGACCAAATTTGTTCTTGGGAGCTCGTTCAGATGCCAGGGAACACAAACTACGGGAAAATGGAATTAAAAATGTACTGTCAATCGAATGGGCAAAACCACCTCTACCAAACAATATTTGCAATAAATTTGTGTATGTGAATGATGATCCAGATGCTGATTTGTTAAGTCTGATGCCAGAATGTGTCAAATTCATTGAGAATTCTATTGAAAGTGGTGGTGTTCTAGTTCATTGGTGAGATAATCTATAGTAAAGTACAGTAATGTTAGTGTTGAAGTTAGCCAATACATTTGGAACCCAAAAAAGCTGCAAGCAGTGGCAGCGTCAGAGTTTTCCTGACAGGTGCCTGAATTATTAAACAAGGTGTCTGACAGACTAACAAAATCCTGAAAGCCTTTCACTTACACCTGTATAAGTTTCGAACTGTAATTATCTTATGTTGCAAGTTGGTAGTTTAACACAAAATTCATATATTTAAGTTTACTGTGTATATTGATGTAACACTACAAGCTGTGACCCCAAAAAATCCATATTCACCTGTAATAGTAAACCACCGGGGCATTCATTTTACTATATCAAGAATTATGTAAAGGTCAACCAGCTTAGCGCCTCTCTTTACCTTTGTCTAGTAATATGAGTATTTCTTTGTTATACATCATACATAATATTTATCGGGTTTGTTAGTACAGAACAAATGTGAAATCCATAAAAATATAACTTATTATATTTTAAGCTTCCATAAAATACTTTTTCAAATATCAAGAACAAATTATGACAAAATACTACAAAAATAGTCCATACACTAACCACCAATATAGAAATTTTCTGATTATAATGTCTTAACAGCAATTTGTGGAAATGTCAAAAAGATTTGTTCTTTGCTTTGCATTAAAGTAAAATGGTGTTGTCATCCTTTGATGTAAAGGTTATCAACATGATACCCTGTAGATGGCCAGCAGAATGCCAGAGCATATTAAAAAAAAATGTTTTGTGTTTCAGTTTCATGGGTATATCTCGAAGTTCTACTATAGTTGCTGCATATCTAATGAAGAATGAGAAGATCTCCTTTGATGATGCGCTAACTTCTATACGCAAAGCTCGCCCTCAAGCCAGGTAAAGTTTCCAAAATGATAAGAAAAGCCTTTGCAATCACAGTTTATTTGTGTGCTCTGCATATTCCATGGCACCCTGTTCTGCCTCATCAAGCTGAATTCTTGTTCAATCTAAACATTACTAGGGTACTCAGTTAAAAATGATTACCCTACAAATTCCAGGTTACTGTACATGTAAACATTCTGTACCCTTGTTTGCTTTACTGAACAGGCTCCTCATAATCATTGTCTCTGTCCCTTAATAGTAGTATAAGTAGTGTTTTTTATGTAAATAATTTTGTGTATCATCATTCTTGTAAATTGTTACTTTTATAGTACATATTTTAATTTTTTTAATTTTTTTAATTTTATTTTTATCAAGAATTTTAATGTATATTGTAAATCACCTGCAATTCAGTTTTAATTTTACTGCTAATTGTGATCAAAATAAAATGAAGTAAATCTTGATTAAATGAAAATAGTCTATTACAGTATTTAGAAAACTGACATTTGTTGTGTACTGTATTTATTCCTGTCAAAAATCCATTCTGGGTTGCAACATTCAAACCATAATTAACTGGAATATTTTTTTTTTTCAGACCAAATTTTGGATTTCGTCAGCAGTTGGACTTATTTCAGAAAATGTGTTTTAAAGTGGATAAAGAGAATACGCAATACAAAAGTCATTTATTACGGGAACTTGGAGTTGCTTTTAAAGGTAAACTTACCAATTTAAATTT